TTTTATGGAAAAAAGATTTTGTGATAGACTGTGTCTCAGACTCTGGCATATGTTTGTTATATGTATATACTTAAAAGATATATACATATATATATATAGAGAGAGAGAGAGAGAGAGAGAGAGAGAGAGAGAGAGATCTGAGTACTTGAAAAGTCAAACCAATTTTATGCGACCAGAAATCAGAAGACGACTTGCAACCTGTACTCCTCATGAACAATGATAAAAGCATGCCCTGGGTTTCATTTTCCACGATATGATCACTGAAGTTGTCAGACTGAAATAATTATAGATAGCAAATAGTGCAGGATTATGTGAGTGTTCTGGCACGTAGATTAATAATACCTACCTTCTCAGAACAGGGATACCACATTTATAAGAACGCCAAAATAGCTGGTTTCCGCGTTCCATGAGAGATATGCTCGCGCTTCAAGAGCTTTACATTTATGCATACGTACGTGGGAAGGAAGTCGAATCTTACAGCGTGCCTCTTTGGCAATGATGCATTTATACACCAAGCGCTAACGTGGCAATCCACATGCGTGTCACGTCAACATCAAAGCCTGCGTATACACAAATGACGCAGCATCGATGTAGACATAACAGTATTTGCCTGCACTTAAAGAATTAAGGACTGGAACTTAATTGTTGACTCCTTTTGTCACTTTTGCATGACAGAAAGAAATAGGAACCTATCAGCTGTTGCCGATGACTCTTTGTCTTGTCTTTTCTCTATAATCGAGCACTTGATGGGGATATACCATGTGTAACAACTGTCGTGCTGATTAGAAACGAGATAAATGCGTTTAGGGGTAGTGTTATTAGTAGGTATATAATAGTGGAATTTGAGAGACTCGTCTCCACCACACCACCTAATCTAAGACGATTCCATTCTGCCGATGCCATGGAGTCGCGTTTATGGTGCTTCAATTAATTGGTTTACGAGCTGCCAAAGGGTTGAAGTTTAGACTGCAACAAAGGAGCAAACTTTTTAATATGGGAAATTTTAGAGGTCTCCTATGACATGGGAACATTTTAGAGCTTCGAACTAACCATCATTAATGCTCCACCTCCAATATCTCACTCTTTATATTTCGACTTTGTGATATGTATTCAGATCTCAACTTCAACGGAAATCAATTCATCTACAAAAAAAAATTCAAATAGGTATTCCTATTACTTTACAGGCATTGACTAACACAACACGTAACTCGGTGTGCGTGCATGTCTGCCGCTCGGTGGGAACACACCTACATTATCATTTGACTGCGTTCAAGAAGAACTACGATACGATCTAAAACCTCATTTGCAAGTCTTGTTAAGACTGCCAGAATCTGCACACCAAATCTCTCTCTCTCTCTCTCTCTCTCTCTCTTCCGCTCTCCCTCCACTTGCGGTGTTTGGCAGAAGGCAATAGGGAGAGGAGATGTGCAGACCATTTCTTTATTGCACTTGTGTCTGCAGATTACATTCCGGAAGTCAATGATCCCATCAATTTTCTATGTATATGTGATCGTTAGCCTCCACCTACATTGAGTCATAAATCTTTGCAGCAGAAACTAAGGGCGCTCAGATCCATCAACGGCGGTGGCCTTGTGGTCTTCGCTTCCTTCTCCGCCTTCCATCCTCACTTTTTTAAGGTACGACGCGACTGAAGCTTCTACTCTTTTTCCATGTTTTGAGAATTTGACATTGCCGATTCTCCTAGGAGTTCGTAAACTATGTGTTCTTTGATTCGTGTGGATTCGCGCTGCGAGGAAATAAAATTTATTCAGGACAGCTCGGGATTTGAGGATTTAGTGAGACTGAAGAGTCTTCTCCTGCTGGTTTTTGGCACCACCTGAAGCCATTTATTCCGGCTTTTTCTGTAAAAATCTGTTTATTTTATTCTTGAGTGATGTGAAGGACTTGTTTTCGATGCATTTCCGATTACATTCTAGCTATCGTTATGCACCCCATGAAAGAAAATTTCTCGACAATTGGTGCTTGCAATCTCATATTGGTCAAAGGAACTAGTGATATCTTGAACAGCATGCATCTCTCTAATTCCAATGCGAAATTAAGGTGCCCGTCGATAGTGCATGGACAAAGAAAGACTATAAAGTATGAGAAGCAGAAGAGAAGACTTTGATTAAAGACAAAAACATATGAGAGAGAGAGAGAGAGAGAGAGAGAGGAGGAC